TAACTCGATCGGCGGAAGAAATAGGCAAGGTATGTTTTAATTCCCACAAGGTCTGGATATAGCGCTCTTCGAAAGAGTGGTATAGGTCCAGCAACTGCTCGAAGCATCCAACGGGCTGGGAAGATAATGGCGTAATCTTCACGCACAAAGCTTTCCAGGGCTCCTGACGATAAAGCGCGGCAACCCGCGCCGAAGAAATCAATTGGGGAGACAGCTCAGACATGAGAGGTGCTTTCGACACAGCAGAAGAGGCTGGAAAAGGGTAGTGCTTGGGCCTGGCGAGATGGCGATAGAAGAACTCCAAATGTAATTCCAACACACTAATCCAGCTCACCCGGCGCGCAGAACAAGGTGAAACTTGAACAGAAGGTTTTGGTACGCGACAGTGATACCCGGGTATCCACTGATCGCGGGTCACCATAGTCTTGGGAAGATCTTTGTACTCGGCCGAAGACAACAGATTATTGGCTGGGGCTCGGAAGTCTTCCGTAACACTAATCCGACACTCCGAACTGCTAGAAGCTTCGCCAAACAAGTCGACCTTTGAAACCTTGGGTATTGGTCTAAGGAAAGCGGCGACTGGGAGGCGGGGGAATCCACATCCGGGCTGGAGATATCCACTACGATCATGTCTGGTAACTTTGAAGACGGAGTCGTCGGATTACTAAACGGGACTTTACGCCGTGAAGAAGAGCGTGATCGGAAGAGTGCAGGCAAGGTTCGAGGCCCAGCATCCGATTAATCGTCATTATCCGAGCTAGCTGGAGCAGGCGGCGGATTGCGCGCTCTGCCTTTCCCTTTCGAACGCCAGGTCCGGGAAGAGCGGGGGTCTTGGGCGTAAGTTCTGCTTGAGATCGTGTGGAAAATAAGGGGTGATCGGGAAGGGTTGTCCTTCGGGGTTTTACAAGGCGGAGAAGGCTCGGCGATGATACCGGACGCAGTCGGAGAATGAGTCTTGGGTGTCATCTTGACGACCGACTGCGAGGTAGCCTCGATTCTGGCTCTCTTGGTCCGCGAAGGAGGAGTTAGAGCGGAAGTACTAGGGCGTTTGACACGAGCACTCGTAGATGGGGCCGTCTCAACTGGACGGGACGACAAAGGTAAACTGAGGCCAGTAACGAGCGCGACAATACTCGTTCGAAGAACGTCGTGATCGCGCAACGCCTGATCGCGCTCTAGCTCCAAACCCGAGATAGTAGCTTGAAGCAGACCCACCCGATCGTCACGATCGGAGAGCAAGGAGCGCGATCGGTCATACTCAGCTTCCAACTCAGCCAGATCATCCCGAAGTTGATCGCGCTCCACCGATACAGCGGCAAGAGCAGCATGCAGGTGGCGAACCGTGGTCTGAGCCTTGGTACAGTCTGCCTTGTACTTGACTCTCTTAGATTTGGCCTTCAAGAGTGCGGCTTGAAATCGAGCGTTCCCCTCATCCATGTGTCGTCGCAAGGAAGCCAGCTCGAGATCATGACGTTCTTTATACGTATGAAGTGATCGGGTCGTTTTCAGAAGTTTCGACTTTAGGTCGCTAATTTGCTGCTCGTAGCAACTCCCCGCGCAAATTGTCTCCTGCAGTAAAGCGACTTCAGCGAGTGCATTTTTCAAATCCAGACGAAGGCGATCACAATGAGTTTGAGCGGAGATCACAAAAGGAGAGGCCGACTCGGTAAGAGAACGGAGTTCCCATTCTATTCGATCACCCCTCCGAGTTTGCTCCCGCAAAGCTTGCTCCAGATAGCGATAGCTATCAACAAGATCCTGCTGGGATGCGAGCCGCTGATAGAGTCAAGCGATCATCATACCTACCGCGGTCGCTTCATCACCTATTGGTGTTTCAACTCGAGTGGTCGGCAACGGAATAGCCCCAATAGGGTCGCCACTTGTAGCAAAAATTGTCGACGACATCTAGCGTCAACGCGGAGCTCATCGGATCAGTGGTTGCAGCAGATTCTCTGACCCTAATCGGCTCTTCGCTTGCAGCGGAACCGTCAAGGTCATTAGGCGTAAACGTGGAGCCGATCGGTTGCGTACTTGAAGCGAGGTCCACAACAGCATCGAGTCCCAAAGCAGGGCCGATCGGACATCTGCTCACCGAGGTACCTTCAACCGCGTATGTAGTAGAATCGGGGCCAGCTGGGTGTTCGCGTGGCGATGCGTCAACACCTACCAAAGATGTGGGACCAGATTGCGTCATCGCCGAGGGAGATGGCGCACAGCTAGTTTTTGGCAAGATGGGCGTGGACGACGGGAAATTATGGAAGGCAACAAAAGGATAAAACGGAAAGTGGTGACTAAAACGTGCACAAGCGAGCCAAATGTTGCAGATCGACTATTTGTGCATGGGGCGACTGTGGTAAAGTCGATCAAGATCGGTGTCGTAAAATCTCAATTGCACGCCTAAGTACGGAGTGGGGACCGGTGGAATGATCGTGGGACGAGGACCAATCATATGGATGGCACCGTTGGCATCATTCACGGAAACATCTCATCCGGTCAGAACGGGTCAGAACGGTTCAAAACGGCGAAAGGGACCACGATCAGGGGACCGCGATTGAGGGACCGCGATCAGGGACCGCGATCAGAGGACTGCGATCAGGGGACCGCGATTAGGGGCCGCGATCAAGGGACCGCGATCTGGCGTGGACCACGCCCTGGTGAGATCAGACGGTTGGTGTGCCAGGTCTGTGCCACATGGATACAAGGGGCGATCTGTAGAGGCGACGCGTGGCATCTGATTTTCCGAGTTATAGGGGTAAGGTGTGAGGGTCTAATTGTTTAACATTAAACAGAATTCAATTTGCTTCTAAACACATTCGTGTCGATCTTCTCCTGGGTTGGATATTTGGCCTCCCGACGTCTGAGAATCTCGACATCAAGGATAGAACGATCACTCCTGGAGCTATTTGGCCAGGAGTGCTAGGACTCTCAACACAACCCTACTGCGATCGGACGCAGCCAACCGTATCGGTTGAAGTACAAGATAGCGAGACGGCTCAAGTGGCCAGAAAGGCTCGCGACTCAAGTACACATTTTGGCACAAGGTGATCAGGGCAGATCACAGCGACTCTAGGAGAGCGCCAACCCAGAACACGCAATCGGGTGAGGATTTTACACCCGATCAGCACCAATCTCTACGACGGTCAAGTTTATCATCTCGTAGAGTCCACCTTGAAGAGTGCAACCCGCCCTGCCGACGGGTACACAAGGTGAGGAAGAAACAAGTGCAAGCGGAATCGGATTACCCCCTCCGTTTGTCGGTAGTTTGGGCGCCAGTGGAGAGTCGGGATCGCCTCAAAAAATGAGCGAACCCCACTCAACCACACAATCCCAACCAGAGCGTAACACGGAAGATGAGATGCAAAAAAGGTATTCGGGTGAAAAGACTAACTAAAGAAAGGATGGTAGATCGACAAAGGGATCGTGCAAGGTTTTTGCAGTGCGGAAGACCCCAGAACGATTGAAAAAATCAGACGGTATTGCAAAGAGGACATAACGAGGGAGGTCGACTACGTGACATCTGATCCACCACAAGCACAGTCCAAATGTTAGCCAGCTGAGACCAAGGTCGAGAATGAAGCAGTGAATGGCCGGTCCACACGTGTGTAAGACAGTGCGGACGCTGCTGCAATAGATGAGGTAATGATGAAACAAGATATAGTGGCTGTGGAAGATATTACAACGAAGGAGACGAACGATTAGCGGAAGATGTGTAGCGGCATAAGGCTGTGTTTCCAAAGATATTAACGTTTAAGACAGATGTTACGATAGACGATGCCCAAGCTGGCGATCCTGGGATACCATCATCAGAAGATCAAGAGAATATGTGACAACTGATATAAGAGAGTTCATACCCGTAGATTGAAAAATGTAACGCGTTAACCCCATGTAGCACGCGGGACCGTGTTTGATCTTGATGTAGGAGAGGCAAAGCCGATTGCGCAGCGTGTGCGATAGGTTGCATCGAAATCTCATGAGAAGTTGGCTGATCTAACATAAAGCCTATTGTCAGCTAATACAATTCGATATTCGACATCGCAGTGGGTGTCACCAATAGTCGTGATCATTAAAAAAATGAGTAATGTATCTGACTATGTAAAGACTATCGACGAGTAAATCAGCTAACTCGGCTGATGATTTTTACTATGCCGCATACTAGCAAGCTGTTGCAAGAAACGGACAAGGTAATGTGGTCTTGTTCGTTACATATGGCTAGTGGAGATTTATTGGTGGAAATGACCTAGCGAGCAAAGAAAATCTCTTAGTTTACCACATCGTCGGGTCCATTTGAATGGTTAAGGATGCCTTTTGGACTTATTTATGTGGTGGAGTGGGCTATCAAAATTGTTTGACGAGACCCCAAACCCCTCACTGGGTCGGACTGCCGACTGTCGGACGGGGTACCCCGGTGCCGCTTGTGGACCCTGACGCACCTTTTGTACCCGTCGGCTTGGCGGTTTCGCTCTTCGGAAGACTTGGCGATGATGTAGACGTCGGCCTTGATGGAGGTCGACCTGGGGGGGCGAGCGGATATGCTTTATCAGGGGTCAAATGTAGGCGTCCACTCGATCAAACTGGTCGAGATTATTCTTATAAATTGTTGTTTCAGGTGCTGGTAGAGCCTAGCCTTTGCTTGTCTCAGGGGTGTTGACCGCCTGGCCTTTATTTTTCTTCTCTCTTACCACTATGGTATGGAGACCAATTTCTGTAGCGAGCTGAAGGTGAAGGGCGCTACTCTACGAACCAACAGTCCAATATACTTCCTGTAGTTTAACTTATTCTTGTGTCTTTCTGACAACTGTCGATTCGACGGGTGGGAAAACAAATCTCTGGCCCGGAACAGGTAGGTAGACTTACGACAGGCCAAGTCGACCTATTGGTGACCAGGTCGGCCTAAGGATGACAAAGGACCTCTGGGTCGACCAGGCCGACCGATGGTTGGCCAGTTCGACCTACGGGGGACCGACGTCCACCTTGGTCGACCAGGGCAGACCAAGGAGTGGCTATGAACGATCCATATCGTACCGTTTAATTGGCACCGTTGGTCGGTTAAACCCCGTAAACAGTAACCTTAACCGCTCGTCACGCTTGGGCCCAACGGCCGATCCTTCTCTTTGAAAACCCCCGGTCTCCAGTCCCTTTCCCAGCCGCGAGATTCCATGTCCATCCGGATCCACGACTCTTACGTCCATCATTTCTGACAATCGCTTCGCCACAGCCGCCCCTTGCACTTGCTCGACCGTACAGAGGTTAGATAACGAGAATGTCTTTACCACGCCAGTCCCGTAAGTTCCACCTTATCTTGTGACCAATATTTCATCATTGTCTAATCTTTGTTTTTGTAGCGATGTCCTCACCTGGATTCGACTCACCGCCTGAGGGTCCTGCTCTTTTTCCTGCTTTGCCAACACTTGCATTCTCGGCATAAGTCTCTGCTCAAGTTGAACCAGTTGCAGTGTCACCTTTCCCCCCGGCTCTCCAAAATCTTCATCGTTCATGAACGCTGGTGAGGCCGTCTTGACCACGCGGTCGACTTCTCCACCGGTGGATTCGGCTCCGGTCACATCTGGTGTGAGATATTCTCCAGTTGTGACTGCTGTCAGTACCGCTCCCGCTGATGTTGACTCGGCCCTACCGAAGGACCCTGCCGATGGCCGTCCTCCCATAGCGCAACACCAGTTGGTGTGGTGGCGTCGTTTCGCCGTGTCGAGGCTTTGGCCCTGATGTCTCCGTCACCGCATAACTGGCCGATAAGATGCAAGAGCTTGGAACGAGAGTTGGAAAAGTCCAGCGCTCTCGTGTCGCAGATTCGTAATAAGCTGCTGCATGAGATGGTACTGACTTCGTAACCTATGACCATTTTGCTGCATGGATGTGCCGATTCTATCAATTGACCGCCTAGTTTCCCTTTTAAAAATGCCTTCAGATCCATTATCCAGCTCTCCTCCTCTTGAGCCTTCCGGATACGTCCACTCGCAGCTGTTGTACCACCTCTCTTTGCATCTTTTCTCCATATAATTTAATGAATGGCCTTAATCGGGTCAGCGCGAATACTCTAACTATCCGATCTCCGTCTTTGGGGACTATAGCTCTAGAAGACGGTTGATCAATTCTAACCTTGGCCACTCTTTCCTCGGCCCTGACTCAACCCCTACTTGCCTGTGTAATGCTTCACGGGCCAGCTGGTCCGCACTATGGTCCTAATCGCGCTATACGTGGAATATATCGTGGGACGTCCACGACCAAAAGCTTGCTCAGAGCTCTAGCTCTCAGCGAAGACAGTCCCGAAGCCTTGCAGTCCAGTTCTCCGCTCATCTGCCAGACAACCCGTTTGGAGTTTCCACAGCTGATTAGTCGCCGTCTTTCCAAAGTTTTAGCAGCTCTAAACCCAGCAACATGATTTCTTATTCGGCTTCTTATAACGTGGATACCTCAAGATATTTTAAGGCAGCGGCTACTACTGACCCCCCCGTAGGCAATATTCGTACGACAGCGCTACGAGCTTCTCCTTGTTGTTTCACAAGAGATGATCCTTCAAAGCACAGTACATGTAAATCCACGTCTATTTTAATTGTGTCCATAGGTAGACAATTTTCTGATTCTCCTGATTTTAAGTGCGACAGCCGACAAGATCGAGTCTAAACTCTCTCAAGAAGGGTTACACTAACCACCAACGCCCCCAGCACCTGGTCTTCACCTTTCTTGCACTACACAATCTCTAATGCCCACTAAGACAAGAGAGCGGCCCAATTTTAAAATCGCCCCTGAACTCAAGAGGATCTGAACAATCAGGCCAAGGTAGAGTGTCTCGTTGATATTTTGAGAGGTCGGGTGACCAACATCGTAAAACAAGTTTCCAGTATTCGCAACAGCCCCAACACTTATTCTTAACGGTACTGTAGTTCAACTCGTTGGAATTGAGGGTCCGACTCGTAAAGGTAACTGGCATAAATAGATCTTTTGGTCCTGCACCAACGATGCCGAGATGGCTCATTCGCTCACGTCGACAATAATCACCGCTTCCGTTGATGGGTCAAAATGCCGCAAAATAGGCGCTGTAGCAATCTTATTCTTGAGCATATCAAAATCCACTTTCCCTCCAAACCATTTCTCTTCGCCTTCACACGTGGTGACTGAGTGGTGACCATCTTTTAACTTGCATCGCCACGCGTAGAAGGCCACTTCTCTCAGCTCGTATAAGATCTACGCAAATTTTGCATAATTCTCGAGAAACCTTCTGTAGTAATTTATACTTCCGAGGAACGCCTGCATGGTCTTAAGAATTGTTGGTAAAGGTAGGTCGACCAGTGCTTGGAGGTCCTTGGGGTGGGCTTCCAATCCTTTTATGGATACCCGGTGGCCGAGGTAGTCGGCCCTTCGACATTCCAACGAACCGTTGGCTACTCTAATCGACAAATTACTGTAGTCGCATACGCCCAACAACCGTTCCACCTCGTAGCCTAGAGATTATTAAGATTCAGTGGGTATAAGCATGTTGTCTTTGTACGACCAACGCCCCAATATCCAGGAGTCTGACTCTGTGTTTGGTTTCCCCGACGCAAACAAATCTTCTGGTTCATCCAACTTTTTCCTTGAGGTATGCGTAACAACCCCTACGACGCGTTTTTTAAAAGTTGCTGGTAAATATGTTGTGCTTTCGTGAGTCCGAATGGCATCCTCAGCCATTCGAACAGTCTAAGCGGTGTGACAAGCGCTGAGATCAACCTCGACCTCTCCTTCATGCTGACCGCTTAAATCCACTTGCCATATCGAGAGAGAAGTACCACAACGCACAATCCAAGTCTTCAAGGAGCTCTTCAATGCGTTAGTGAGGTAGATTACGAGTTGAGTCAAGTTGTACACCAACCGGTAATCAATGCCCAACTCGGTGTCTACCCCATTCTTCATTTACGACAATCACTTTTAGGCTGGCCCACGGCGAGGTAGATGGTTAAATAATCTTCCCAGACAAAAGACCCTTGATTAGGTCAGCCATTTTTTCTTTGAACTAAGAGGCTACCTTTTTCGCACGCGTTATGCGATCGGTCTCGCAATTTCCACGTCAATGTCGCACATGGCACCACGAGAGGCTAATGGTAAGGCGTTGCCTTTTCCCATTAATAGATGTCGCTTGTTCCATATGCTTTGCCTCGATCGACTCGCTTCTTTGGGCGTGTTCCATACGAATCAGGGATCGGCATGCCCTTCAAGTTTATGCCTTCGGGAGAGGGGTCTACTTCTGGTATCACTGCACATCCTTGACTTTTATCTCGGCTCAGACCTCTCTGCTCTTAATAGTGCTCACACAACCATCGGCTTGTGCTAGGTCCTTTTTTTCCGTTCTTGTTTCAGGGACACAGGCCTCCATAGACTGAGTGACCGTGGATTCCATCGGCTGAGGGTCGGCGGCTTCAGAGGCCAGCGAAGGTAGTTTTTTATCGCATGTTGGTAATGGCTCCACTGGAAGCTGCTGGGGAGAAGCGTTCATCACCAAGGCGATTTGTTTCGGTTGTTGCAGAATATGTAATGGGGTGTCATACTGGGGTTTGTCCACTAATGGCCCCCGTCTTACTCAATCGGGTCCAAATGATGACTGTTCTGGTCGATGGCAGCTTCGTATGCCAAATTCCATTACTCATCGTATCTTTGAGAGCCCCCAATGACGAATACTAGTGTCCTCGGTAATTTATCCTTAAAAATGTTGTGCCAATCCTGGTGTCGTCAGTAGCGTCGAAATTGTGTGCTGACATTGGTCACCTTCAAAAAATTGAAGTTGGCCTATCCCTCGAATCACCGTAGTGACCCACCGTTCACCTCTTTTCACCCATATCACACTCTGCTCCAAGGTCGATCTTTTCAGAGGTGCTTTCACATACCCCAACAGGCAAGTGTGAGCATTAACCTAACACGACGACGGTCAATCTGCCACCGTAAAGCGTTCGTCAGCCGGCCAGTTGTATACGAATTTCATCCGAAATACAGATTGCTCCACCTTTCAGGTCTAAGCAGAAACCAGCGGGGACCATGAAGTCCATACCCAAAATTGCGTCTTGGCCTACCATGGGTCCGACCCATACCTTGAAGATGAACACCAAGGTTCCGTTCAGGGTGATATTAATAAAGGTGCGCCATTCTGTGGTATACATTGACTCCCCAATACCGAAAGATTCTTGCCTTTCACTTTCGTCAATCTGGCAATCCACCTTACGAGCAAAGGCGATTTTCCCAATAAATATCTCTGCACCAGTATCAAACAACAAGTTTGCGCGATCGTTATTGACTATTCCAGAGGCCTTGGCCTGCTTAAACTATTTCGAAGAACAATTTTTTTCATAAGAAATATCACTTTTTTACCTATTCATTTTTGTTGGGAGCATAGTTTTTCCAATGGACCACGGATTCGCCTGGAAGTAGATCTTATTCCATCACTGCATATCCTCGAGCAAATCCATTAGGGTCATAAATGCAAGCAACAAAAATTACAGGGCAGCTTCCAAAATATGATATATTCCTGTGGTGAAGCCGATCTCACAAAATTACTTTTGTGAGTGTCGATCTTCCAATTGCCCAGACTTGCCGACTCACGGAGGGGTACTCCGATCCGTGCCTAGCTGTATAACCTTGTGCTCACCTTGTGAACCCGTCGGCAGGTCTGGCTTGAGCTCTTCGTAACGGCCTTGGGAGATGTCGATCTCGCTGAGAGGTTGGGTTGAGAGTTCGCTTCCGGTGCGGAAATCTTCACATCACAAACAGGGGTTCTGCGATCTTGATCTCGAGTCGCGGCGATCTATAGTTAAAGATGTCGCAATCTCGATCTTTAATCGCACCGATCTCGATTTTCTTCGGGATCGGGGTCTTTGCTGTGCGGAAAGCTCCACTCAGCAAATAGTAGTCTTGCGTCGATCTTGCCTTGGGATCGGTCCGATATGGTCTTGGGATCGGCCGATCTTGCTGGAAGTGCTCAATTTGGGCAGATCGGTTCTTGGTTTCGCCAAAATGAAACACTCCGATCTGTCCAGTGGATCGCATCGGTCTTGCTCGGTCTTGTCTTGAACGACTTGTCCAAATTCTCTGACCATTTGAGCCGTCTCGCGATCTCGTGTCCAGAATCCTTTTCCTTTATTGCTGCTACCCTAGCAGTTGAGTTGAGAGTGAGTACTTGATCGATCTGGGCCAAACTTCCCGAGATCGCTCTTCCCGATCTTAGCCAACAATCCAAGATCGGTCTTCTGTGTCCTTGTAACATGCGTGCCTTGACCCGCCGGGGAAGCCAACTCAATCTTGCCCGGAGAAGAGGGGAGGAGAACGTGCGTCGTGAGCAGGAGAAGTAGAGTTCAAGTCTGTTTATCAACCAGCCAAATTAATAGCCAACCTATCTTTGAGCCTATTCCCAACTATAGGTCACTCTCCAAGTTGATATCACCTGTAAGCTTGACCGCCTCCTCGAACACGTGTCGAAATTTTATGACCCGTACTCCAAAGATAGAGCCAATATCCCCGATATCGTACCTAAACGCCAAAAGAGGACCAAATCCCAAATGTGGTACCAAATACTCATTTTTGGTACCCAAAAGCCCAAAATAGTGCCCAAATGCCGAATGCGTCTAAATCCATTTTGCGACGTCGATTCAACCGACTTCCACTAGCTCATTCGATCTGAACTTTT